CCCTTTTCTGCAGCGGTATATCCTGGGATTAATATGGCTGATTTGACTAGGGGAGTAGCTTTCCCCCTTTCCGCACAATCTGCATTTTTCCCCCTTATCTAATCAAACTTTGACTAGATGTCCCCACATATTTATTTTTCCTTTCCTCATGTTTGCAGGACCTTTGGCAAATATTGCATCCTCCCAAGTAAGCCAATGCAGGTAGCAGATAGGGTGGTGGGGGAGGACAGGGGACAGAAACACTCCATATAAAGGGGCACCTGACATCGGATCCCCTGAAGTCTACCTTCCTTCTGTCGGTGCCTTGTACATCATCTCTGAACCCAACCATGAATTCCCTGGTAGCTCTCGTGCTCCTGGGTCAGATTATAGGATGCACGCTTAGCCATCACTTGGTGCCGCAATTAGATTGCAACGGCGAAGAAGCTGAAAAATTAGGAAACTTGGCCGTGAACTACATCAACGAACACATTATACACGGATACAAACAGGCTCTCAATATAATCGAGGATATTCATGTCCTGCCCCGGGTAAGTACAATGGGAGGAAAAAGCTTCCTAGTTACTAAATCAATAACCGTTAGGTGATTTTTTTGGGGGGGGGGGTGTGATGTTGTGCAAGTCAATTGCTGTAGTCTTCCTGCTGAGATTTGGGCAATCTATGACCTCTTTATAGGGACGTGGTGGATCAGTGGCTAAGACACTGAGCTTGTCGATCAGAAAGGTCGGCAGTTCGAATCCCTAGCACCGTGTAAGGGAGTGAGCTCCTGTTCCTTGTCCCAGCTTCTGTCAACCTAGCAGTTTGAAAGCATGTAAAAATGCAAGTAGAAAAATAGAGACAGCCTTTGATGGAAGGTAACAGCGTTCCATGCGCCTTTAGTGTTTAGTCATGCCGGCCACATGGAGACGTCTTCGGATAAGCGCTGGCTCTTCAGCTTTGAAACAGAGATGAGCACCGCCCCATAGAGTCGGGAACGACTAGCACATATGTGTGAAGGAAACCTTTACCTTTACAGCCCCTTTCTAGTCAATGTTCTGTAATCTCATAGCTTCCATTTCAATTGAATTGCTAGATGAGTGTGGACAACAGGTGTCCATCATTTTGTTGATAGTGACATGCAATGCTCCCACCTCATCTCAGCGATAGAAGACTGCTGCTTCTTTAGCTATTGGATCCTTAGAAAGGGAGGGTGGTCACCTCGTGATCTGCACCATACACACAACATGTTTAACTAGCACAAAGCATGTTTTTGTGATTGCATTTGGGTAGCAATAACAGACTTATATACCACTTCAAAGTGTTCTACAGCTCTCTCTAAGCGGTTTACAGAGTCAGCCTATTTGCCCCCAACAATCTGGGTCCTCATTTTACCCACCTCGGAAGGATGGAAGTCAACCTCAAGCCTGGTGAGATTCGATCTGCCAAACTGCTGGCAGCCGGTGATCAGCAGAAGTAGCCTGCAGTACTGCACTCTAACCACTGTGCCATCAGGGCTCATATATGCAGAGCTTGGTGTGAGCACCAGTTAGAGTTGTTGCATCAGCTCAGCCCCTTGGGTTAGTTAATGGTTCAGTGTGTGATAGAAATCCAGGAGATGGTTAATTCTGCAACTGGGTTAAGTGAGTAAATGAACTCTCCAACTGGGCAAAATGTTAGCTCCCTCCCAACAATATGATCTTCATTAGACCTCCTGTCCCAAATAGTTGTCCTAAGTATTTGTAGCAGTGGTGAGTTGCAGGCTGTACCCCCACCTGGTACGAGTGTACCGGAGCCTGCCTGGAGCACAAGATACTGCTCCAGTATGGTGCTCTGGAGGGCCACCTGCCCGCCCACGCTCCTTACCTGTCTTTAAAGTCATCAGCGGTTCTGCTTCTGCGCATGGCGCATACAGCACCTGCGTGACGCTCTGCCGAGCAGCTGGAGCGTCGCGTAGGCTCGCATAGGCGCCGCTGGATGGTAAGACGCATGTCCGTGCATGCTGTGTGTGTCCATGTAGATGATGCCGGGCCCGTACTGGTTGGAACGGGATCCGGATCCCACCACTGATGTGTAGGTAGGCAGATCAGGATTACCCAATGGCATTTTTTGGAGCCAAAATGGTGGTAGTTGAATAGACCATATGCACTCATGTGAACTATGCAATG